GTCAATAGTAGTACACCTTTCTTCTTGCAATACCTAAACATTTTCACCATTATTTAGTATGTCACACACATTGAGTTGTTACAGGTAAATGAAGAGATCTAACAATATTGTTTCTACCTTTTTCATTCCTTTATTTTGCCTCATTAAAATCTTTGAATGCTTTATGCAATCAATTTTGGTTTTATTCTATTCTTGTAATGAGGGATCATGTAAGAAGTTAGCAATAACTATTTTGTTGCATTTAATATTTCTTGCAATGATTCTTTGACTGTCACATTGCTTGCAATAAGCCAGCGTAAGTTCCTTTTCTGTGTCACTTATTTTCTTGCATTACCTATGACAACCAAGTTTGTATAAAATAATAGGATATTACAATACATTAAGCAATGTCTATAAAAAAATTTTTTTTCATAGTTTTTGTGTTAATTTCCTGATGAATATTTGTTTTTAACTACATCTTTTTATTATAATCTGCAAGTGACTTCTCAAATTATACATAGTCCTGTCTCATTTATAACTTTGAATATGCATACAATTACTCATTTCTTCATTATACAGGTATACCTCGACTTACGTCGTTTTTTTAAACATTTTATATTAGAAAATTTGGAATGTTTTATTTCACAATTAACGTTTATCTTTGAAATATTCCACAAAACTAAACTGTTTTCTCCATAGGCATCCTTATTTGGTTTTCACGAGATTTTAAAAATCGTAACCCTAGCGAATAACAAGATTTAAGTGTATCTTGTGTAATTTGAGTAAAGTCTTTTGAATTGGTCATCAACAAATTATCATCGTCAGTAAAATATTAGTGAACTTTTTGTAGCCTGATTTAACAGATTTGTAACTATTTATTTGAACGTTAGCTAAGAAAAAATGCTACGGTATTCATAAGAAAGATGTTTTCTTTATGAAAAAGATTTATTGAAAATTATACATTTGCAATATTTTCATGTGCACAATTTGTTATTGAATGTTTTCCTTTTGTAAGTACAGTACATTTCTGAATTGAGCATAGTCATGATCCCATGTGCCAGAGCCGCACGAGTAGAATTTATAAATTCCATGAATTTTTAGACAGTATGACACAGTTAACTTTAGTTGGTTCTCAACTTATCTGTGGCTTTCCATTCGTAGAAATCTATCAAATATAGTACATAATATTTTTATTTACAACTGAATGAGCTGTTAGTATTCATGAAAACAATTATTTTAATATATATTAATTAAATACAGCATTTTTAAAATTTTAGAAGAGAATTTACTTACCCTTCTTAGTTTTGAATTCCAGCTTCTCAATTTCACAGGCAAATCCATGTACTGTACAGGTACAGTACTTTCTCCAAATGTTCATGTAATCGAATGAAAGTAGAAAATCCTTCAGAACATGAAGTCTCACAACAGAATATAGATTTTTCCTCCACCAGGATTTGCTTATGTTCTAAACCTACACGCTTGTTAGTAAGATTTCTTTTTGAAGAGAAGTGCTTATTGCAATAACAAGTACTTTCTAATACACTGGTGCCTCGTATAACATACTTCATTCCTGGTGCACATTGGTTAAGTGAAAAGTCCGTTATACGAAACGCATTTTCCCATAGAAATACATGTTAAAACATATAATTCGTTCCGCAGCATAAAATAACCATACTCTACCATAAAAAAAAATTAAAATGGAGCAGTCACCAATTATGCTGGGTTGTCAGATGTGAGGAGGAGGTGGAGGAACACTTTCTTCACACATTCATACAGATAGACTTTTTACACATTGCATCAGGTCTCTCTTTATTGGTTTTTAATTGGAGTCAGATTCAGGAGAGGCTACTGGGGCTTGCAGAGTCAACTCCTCTTGTTACATCCTTTGTTATTTGGCAGCTGGCTTTTTGAAAAACATGTCGAAGGTAGTCTGTTTCTCTCTCTTCTTCAACACCTGTCGGAAATGACGGGCAAGGATGTCATTATTCCTGTTGTCCTCAGCTCTGTTTGAATAATGAGTGTAGGTAAACTCCCAAACCTCTTCCCATTCGATAAGGAAGTTTTTGTCAACTTTCACTCCTTCTTTCATTGTTTCAATTGAAATCATCTTTCTGTTTTTTTAGAAGCCATGATTTGCACAACACTTGAATAAATGTAAATAATTTGCACTGAGGTGATGTACGTAATAAACAAGAGAGCAAGCCGAATCCCAACGGGAGTTCTGTACTAAAGATATACTAATAATATATTCTAATAATACTAATATATTATAAAAATTGCAGATTCCACTCTTTTGCCAATGACAAAAATCATTTGCACTTGTTCGCAGAAAGTCCATTGTTTGCCTCATGTAACTGCTGAACGGAATCCGTTGTTCACAGCCAGTCTGTTGCTCAAGTCACGTAATATCCAAACAGAAAGTCCGTTGTTTGCAGCGTTTGTTATTCGAGGCATGTGTTATAGGAGGCACCACTGTATATCCAACGCAATATTTTCCATAACGATTTCTTAGCAATGTAGCAGGAATAGTTCAAAAGTATTCCTGCTAAAATATCAACAAAAAAATTCCAAGCACACTGTACAGTACAAAGTATATACGCTATCTGAACATCACGACACTAGTGGCATCTTATGGTAAAAACCAGAACTACGGCTACGGAATTGTTCTGTAATTAGACGCCAGTGTTATCAGACAGTTGGAGAGCAGGACACTGCCGAACTTTCTCCAGGACATTATCTTTTACAAAAGGTATTTCAATGACATTATTATCTTATGGAGGACAACTCCTAACCTAACCCGCTTTTTAGGTGAAATGAATGACAACCTGTATGGGCTGTCCCTTGAGATGGAGCAATATAGCAGCAGCAGAGTCCATTTTCTCGATTTAGATATCAGATTTGAAGATTCCATCATATACATGTCTGTTCATCGCAAACCATCTAATATATCCACATACATACCAATAATCTCTTGTGATCCCTTCCAGTACAAGATGGTGGCCTTCAGGGCATTGGTTAAACGAGCCTACACGCACTCCTCTATGCAACAGGCACTCGCAGAAGAGTTAAAATACTTGGAAGACATTGCCAGGTCCTATGGTTACCACACCATCATACGGAAAATATTGGACCACCATAAACAGATGCAGGCTTCTTCCACCATTACTGCAGTAGCAAAAGCGGTAGTATGAAGATGGAAAATGTGAGGATACCTCTTATGTTCAACCCCCTCTTGAGGTCTTTATACAGTACCATCGCAAAGAAACGGAAGGTTACCCTGGCATACAGGAGATGCTGTTCTCTGTTCAACGTATTACCTAACAGAAAGACCGATTCAGTATGGAGAGATTATCAGGCATATATACCGTCCTGCTTAGGGATAACCAGTTTAACAGGGATTTGGTATACATAGGATCGATTAAACGTTCATTGGGGGTTAGGATAAAAAAAGCATATCTCTGATATACAATGCAATAGATGCACCATCTCTCTCTTCACTTATGCCACCAATCCCAAAATTGTGGCGGACTTCACTAGAGTGCAATTAATTGTTACCACACCTCATATTGACCACGTGATATGGCAGAGGAGATGGAAATTTTTAAGGCCTATCGTGCATCAACATGCATTAATTCAAGGGACTAGATTGGCCTTTCCATGGCTTGGCAGGCCCTACTACATGCAGAGTGATAACATTATACTATTTATTAAGTAGTGAAGAAAAATATTTGATGGGGAATGTGTGAGATTATTATTGATGTTTCATCTCACACTCATGTATGTTATGTATTTTGACATATTTTTCACTAACGTTTGGATATGGATTATTATGTTGGATCACTTTCAAACATATCACGTGACGGATTACGCAAATGAACTGAAGATTTGAAACACACCAGCATTTGGATTAGTTTAAATTTTCGTAATCGAGTTCAATCCAGCTGAATTACCTGAAGAGAACTTAGAAGGGGTTAGGAAAATGTTTGTTTTGGAAGATTAAACTTTGTGTGCATTGGTTATAGGTTCAAGTAGGTCATGTTTTGTTATATACAACCCGGTGTGCGGTTGCTGTTTTATCAAAATTATCATCTAGTATTCAAAAATTATAATATAAAACATTAATTTGGTCATGTCATATTTCCAGATTATCAGGAATATCAGACTTGATATAATTTTCAGCTGAATTCCTGATATAGCAAGACTGGCAGATTAATTTTTAAATGATATAAATATATATATATATAACTCAATGTAATATTTTATTACCAATAACACTGTTTTTGTGGACATATTTTTTGAGTTTTACTAAAAAGCATAACTTTCTGAAACAATCACTTTACCTAATAAATGCTAAAAATAAATTACTGATTAGAGTAAATAAACATTAGGAGTGAAATATTAATATCAATATTTTGCAAATAGCAGTCTCCTTGTTACCTCCAGTTTTATTGTGTTTAAGAAGACATTTGTCAATTTTGTTTACAATCAAACATATAGCTATTGTTTTATGACCAAAGAAGGTGGAATTGATCAAGTACTCTATCAAGTCTAGACTTGTTCACTTGCTAGATTGATTGCAATTGTTGATGTGTTGTAAAATAAAGATTATTCCATTATAGATACTAGATTATAGGTTTGCCTATTTACATATAAAATTTCAAAATATGTATAAGTAGTTTCATGTAACATTGTGACTCATACATGTTTATATGCATTTCACTGACCTGAGCTCTATGGTAAAATGCATAAAAGTACAAATCTATCTAAGAAATGAGATCTTAGAAGAGATGTTTGCTCGTTTAGGTAACAGCTGATAGTTAAAATTGATTCTTGAGCCATTTTAAAGACTTCTATTCTAATTTTAACATCAGACAAACAATTTTTTATGTTTTTTATCTTGTCTTAAACTTTTATAAAAGCCATTTTAATAATTTCTGAAGTTAGTAAAATTATAATTTGATTCAGTAAATTTTATAATGTAATTAACAATTACAATTAATATAGTACATTCTTTATTTTAGTTGTGATGAATCACCTGGATATGGATTAAGTAGCTGTACATGTTCTGATTGTGAAGCAGCCTGCAAGTTTATTTCAGCTTCTCCTCCACCTTTACCAGAACCAGAGCAACCATTTTTGATTTGTGGCTATGATGGAATGATTGTTATCACAATCATTATATTTATAAATCTGTCATTAATTATAATTGTTGGATTCTTTTTATATAAGCAGAAGTCTCGAAACATTATCAGATGTAAGTATTTTAAATTTATAAGTTTTCTAATTTCAATTTACAAGTCAAAAAGAAAAATATGTAAATGTTTGAATATAAAAAAAATATACTCTATGAACCGATGCTCCGTGTGTGATGAAAAAAAAACAAAAGAGAAAGTTCACCATTAATATTTTTGAACTCCCCCTAATGGAACATTTGGATTATGAAAATTTGAAAACTTGTTTGAATCTGACTTTCTCTTTTCTTTTTTCGTTGCACACCAGTCATCGGTTCTTAGAGTACATTTTTTACTATACCCCGGTGTTGTGTTGTTGTTATTTATTGTTTGAATATAATGAATATATAATTTTAAGTAGTTACTTTGTATAACAATGAACTTTGTAGTATAAGTTTTGATAGAAATTCAATATTTCTGTTATAATATTAAAAGATTTTTTGTGTTAAGATTTATATGCTCATTTTATACTTGTATGCACTTTGTAGCCAACTGGGTTATGTCTTCAGTTATCTCATTTGTTGTAATTCAAAATATTTTTATTTGAAAAAGTTGTCTTATAAATTCATAATTTCTCAAGTTAACAAAAACAAAGGTTAATATAACATAATAGAAGTAACTTTATCATTTGAACTTTAACATCCAATATTTAAATATATTTAAACTGTTTTTGGCAAAGTTAATCATCTTTTTCAGGTTTTATTGTAAACTATGCATAAAAAATAAAAATTTACTGTTTATTACAATAGATTTCAAGTATTTTTCTGATAGAACATGGTAATTATTATGTACAAAAAAGAAAATTTTAATGAAAAACTATATTTTATTATAGAATTTATTAAATACTTATTTAAATATATATTAGATTATATTAAAATTTGCTTCTTTTATATTTCCTTAAGCTTAATTTATAGTATAGTTATTGTTATGTAAAACGAAAAATAGAAAGAAAAAAAAAATGAACTAGATAAATTACTTTTTCTCACCGTATAAAAATAGTTTGTGAAATTATTCAAAACCAAAGTAGATAATTAAATAACCAATTAGTAACATTTTTGAGACTTGATAGTCATTATCATTTGAAATAGTGTTGGTAATCAGATTGAGACCATTTAAAATAATTTACTTTTAGACAAATTAAACACTGTTTCAGCATTTTTCAATTAGATCAGTAACAAAAAATCTAAATTTACTAAACTATTAATTTAGTAAATTTAGATTTTTTTTTAAAGATGGAATTTGAATAATTTTGAGTTTTTAGAAATAGAATTGAAACATTTTGACTTACAACTGTAATAAACAAACAAATAAAAAAAAAGATGAAATATTAAACTTGTGCTTCCTTTGGCAATGCCAATTTCAAAACATTGTTTTGACATACTTTTCACAGGTCTCTGAAACTAAGACAAGAATTGTAAACTAGGAAAATAGAATTGCATTTTGAAGTTCACATTTTATTAAATTGGTGTCCACCAGCATAAACTAGACCAGTGATGGCAAAATCTTGACCCATATAATGATTTCAAGGTTACTTGCATCGAATGTTTAGGAAGTACAGGAAATCCTTGTTAATTTGAACTCTGCTAGTTCAAAATCTCATTAGTTCGTAACTGTACTTTTGTCTCAGCTGGGAATATAGAGATTTACGTGTTAAAGAATTAAGACAAGTCAGACAAAAGTTGGGGATGGGTTGAGCTTCAGTGAACATCCATATATTTCATTAAAATTTTAGTTTATGCATTTTATTATATTTATTTCAGAATTTCTTATGTTTCATTTATACTTATGGTATCTATCATTCATAAAGTGATAATGATTTAAGAGAATCAAGTTTTGTTGGATGTTCTAAGAGGGAGGATTATGGAAACTTTGACAAACTGGGATGAGAGGTGGAGTAAGAATTTCAAGAAAAATGTAGATGTAGTTTATGGACAGCCCCGAATATTGGATAATTTGAAGTTGCAATTATTTTGTTTTTTGAATTTTGAACTAACTAGGATTTCCTGTATTACTTTTATAAAAAAAAAAAAAATTCAAAATTTGCATATTTAATATAAAAGCAGGATCTTAAAGCTGTTGTAAAGTCTTAAAGGCCTCAAATTATGAACCTCAGAAAAATTATCAGATAAACAACAACAGATTTTTACATTATATATTTGTTTGTTATAATCACATTATATTTTTTTATTTCTATTGCATTTATTATTATTTTTATAATATATATTAAAAAAGTTAAATAAAGTAAAATTTTTAATCATGGTTTATTATTTTTGATTACTTAAATTATTATTATTTTATTTTTTTAAAAATTTATTCTATGATTTTTAATTGGGTATGTTATCTACTTGTACCAGGGGAGGTACTTATTGTCTGAGATATCATTTTTTTTTTTAAATAAATAATATTTGACCTGCAATTTGAAGTTACTAAATTTCAAATTGAATTTTGACTATCTTTTGATAAGATTTGCCAATGCTGAACTAGATAATTTCCTATATGTTCTACATAGGATTTAAATTAGGACTGAGTGAAGCAGTCCAATCTACTACATTCACATCCTAAAAAGCCAGTTTTGTTGTTTTGGAGCAATGAGTAGTGGTATAATCTTGCTGAAAGACATGCCCATCAGGATGGCTAATACTACATTCGCACACAATCCATGACTCACTTCGATCTCGATTTACCTACAATCTGGATTATAACTGTTGCCAGACGAACATAGAGCTGTTCGCACAGGCAGTCTGCTTGAGAAGAACCCAGTTATTACATGTGATAATAAAACTGACATAACTATGAGGTAAGTCATGAACACCAACAAACAAAATGAAGTTTTGGTTAGAAATAAATACTTTTTCTTGCTATATATCTAATAATAGACAGATTTCTTCGTCTCTCCAGATGTCTCTTTTATTTCTCTGTTGATAGCCCGATACATGTTCCAAAGCCATCTTGTATTTTCTCATGAGTGTGGGATTGTGAGAACTCTCTTATGACTGGATCTAGTTTCAAGAATTCTCTTGAGTCTATCACGATTGAACCTTGTTTCAGTCAAGATTGAAATGGTTGAGAGAGAGAGATTGCACCATGACATAGTCACTGACCTTGATCACAATTTAAATTGAAATACTCAGTGCGACCAGGGTATAAGGATCATTTATTGTTCTTTATACCAGTTGAGTGTCTTAATGTACTGTACTGTACATTCCTGAGTTTTGTATACCTGACAAAAAAATTCCCTTTTTTTGCTGATGCTTTGAAAGGGCAAGGTGGTAGTCATTCCATAATGATTATGGAATGACTACCGCCTTGCCATTTCAAAAACCATAAGTTCATTTTTCAGGTAATTCTATTAGTATGCATAGTACTCTAGTAGTACATTTTTCTTGTTGCTGAATATTACACTGTTCCATATGTCACTTGAATCTTGATAATTTTTTAGCAAGTTTCAACCTGACAATTTTGTTTTTTTGGTCAATAGTAGTACACCTTTCTTCTTGCAATACCTAAACATTTTCACCATTATTTAGTATGTCACACACATTGAGTTGTTACAGGTAAATGAAGAGATCTAACAATATTGTTTCTACCTTTTTCATTCCTTTATTTTGCCTCATTAAAATCTTTGAATGCTTTATGCAATCAATTTTGGTTTTATTCTATTCTTGTAATGAGGGATCATGTAAGAAGTTAGCAATAACTATTTTGTTGCATTTAATATTTCTTGCAATGATTCTTTGACTGTCACATTGCTTGCAATAAGCCAGCGTAAGTTCCTTTTCTGTGTCACTTATTTTCTTGCATTACCTATGACAACCAAGTTTGTATAAAATAATAGGATATTACAATACATTAAGCAATGTCTATAAAAAATTTTTTTTTCATAGTTTTTGTGTTAATTTCCTGATGAATATTTGTTTTTAACTACATCTTTTTATTATAATCTGCAAGTGACTTCTCAAATTATACATAGTCCTGTCTCATTTATAACTTTGAATATGCATACAATTACTCATTTCTTCATTATACAGGTATACCTCGACTTACGTCGTTTCGAGTTACGTCGTTCCCGATTATACGTCGTTTGTCAAAAAAGTATATGGAAAAATAAAAATCAAGTTTAAGTCATTTTATTCGACTTTACGTCTGTCCGCCACAAATATTGAAGTTGTAATATCACTAGAAAAATGTTTAAAGCACATAAAATCATATTATAATATATACAAGTATATACTGTATTTACAGTACATGCATTCGTAAATTTAAATTACTTTTTTCTGTACTATATTAAAAACTAAAATTTATTTGTTTGTAAGCTTAAAATAGATCCTTATTAACCATATATTATTAAAAATGCATTAATAAATAAAATACAGAACGGAAATTGGTAATTTATGGTTTAGCCTAGTGGCAAGTAGATTTGAAGACAAGTAAATTCGACTTACGTCGTTTTTCTGGAACCAATTACCGACGTAAGGCGAGGTATACCTGTATTACATTGTCTCTGTTTGAATTCAAGAGATGATGAAAATTTGTTTAGACTTTTTTTAAATTGTGTTTTCAATATTATTTTTCCCATTTGTAATACTGTGTATCTTTCTAATTAGAACTATATTAAAGATTAAGATTAATTATTTTGATTAGAAAATATTTCTCATCACATACAAGTTGATTAATTTTTGTATAAAAGTAAAAGTTTAAAGATTAAGTTGTATAATACTTTTTTTTAAATGAGGATGTTGATTTTTTTCAAATTAAGGATGTGTGTTTTTTTTAAGAATAATGCTAAATGTTGTTGTTTCCTTACTAAACATATTAACTGAAACTTAAATGTTTCTATAAAACTTGTTAAATATTTCAGCTCTTTCAATAGATTATGTAAGTTATTAATAAGAAAAAATAATTTATTTCTAAAATATAGGATTAAGTATTGCTTAAATAAAGTTCTCTATTAAAAAGAACTATTTTTGAAGTTAACAAAAAATAGGGGTGTATGTGCAGGATGTCCCATAAATCTGGAATCATA